GAGAAAGTGGGGCTTTTTTTTACTAATTTTTTGGGTTTTTTTTACTAAAGTTTTGTTCGATCTCTCATCCGATAGGCTTATTTTATTTTGGTCAATTTCCTCCAATTTCTTTCAATTGCATCTCATAACTATTTTCTCACTTCGTATTTTTTTCTCTTTTGTTTTGAAACATAAAGAAAAACAAATGAGCAATTTCCGGATGTTAACAATAAGGATAATTTATAACGAGGTAATTATTGTATTGGTTTACACTTATATGTATCAATCACAATTAGTTTTTTTTTTTTCAAATGACTTTGAAGACTTATTTTTCATATTTATGTGATGCATGCAGATCTTTTTAATAAATTTATAGATAAGTTTAAAAAATAATTCTATGGATATTTTTTCAATCGGTAATTGTATGTATGCAATCATCTTATGAGTTCCAATTTTATTTTATTTTTTTCCTTATAAGATGGCTTTACTTCGTATGTGGATGCTAAGACTAACCTATCTTGATTTATTGATAGATGGATTTAGATTGTTACATACTATTTGAATAGGAAATAATAATAATAATAATAATTCAATCACAAAATATTTGTTAATTTCTTTTATCTCTTTGAATTGAAATATGAAATCAATCGGTTTGTCCTTATATCTTGTTAAAAAGAAAAAAGAAAAAAGAAAAATGTTCATGGCTATTTTCCAAATTAACAATTGGTTAGGATCCGATCGTTTTATGAGATTCACTTACCACTCATCCCGTGCATGTCCACCCTATTTAAGTGGATACTAGCACTTGAATATATAGATTGGTCTTTCAAAAGGATAGATAATTATATAGATAGGCGTCCTTGGTTATCTTCTACCTATTCTCCTGCACTAACTTTAACTTGTCATTAAAAAAAGGAAAGAAAAGAAAAATATCAAGAAAGCCCTTTGAAGTTTGAACTTTTCTCCTTACTTGTTTAATGTTTTTGGTTGTCGGAGGGTGGGGGCACGCCTTTGTCTCCTATCTCTATCGGTTGATTCCTTTAGCACGGTGTAGTTCGTTATCAATCTTTCGAATAAGTCTTACTTCAAATCTTTAATTAATGTTTGCTTATGTCGATCTTTGATTAGTACGTAATCATATCATCATCTTCACGACAACAACAATAATAATTGGCTCTATTTCATTTTCTTTTTTTTTCTTTTTTTTTTTTAAGAATAATTCAGTCTACATCTTTCTTTCTTAACGTTGTTGAATTATTATTATTCGATTACGACGCCCTCTTTTTCTTCTTGTGTTTTTTTTTTAATTATTAGTCAAAAAAAAAAAAACTCGAACTATCTTCTTAATGGAAATGGAGGATATTAATATTTTGCTTCTATTTAATCCATCAAAAATGATAGGCGTACTTCAAAGTTTGTGGTTGCTATTCTTTCTACAAGGACAGGGTTTTCGCTAGGTTGTGAATCTGGAATTGGACGAGACCGTTAAAAAAAAAAAAAAAAAAGATTGAGCAGGCAGACTTACAATTCTCGCAAAGGACTTGAAAGTCTCAAATAAGATGGAAAAAAATCAGCCAATTCATGTCAGTGCTCACGTCACCTGCCATTGCAGGAAAGAGACTGGAGCTTATATTAATACAGTAACCAAATTGACACAGTAGTGTTCTCAGTCAGCTTTTTGGAAAAAAGGGAGGCAGCTTGGGTACATTGACTAGTAATGTTAAGGAGACACCTAAATTTAGTCTCATAACTATAAATTTTAACAATTAAGTCTTGAATGTTTCAAAAAATTCTCAATCAAGTTTTTTTTTGGTAATATTCATCAATATTTTTATCAAATTTTCTACAAATCAATGTTTTTTTAATACATAAATATGCACATAAGACTGAAGATGTTAATGTTTGTTAATTTTTTTTTTTTTGGGTCAAATTGACACCATGTTAGTGTATAAAATATACAAAATAGACTTAACCATTAAAAAAAATGAAAAAAGGTCGTAGTTGATAAATATAAAAAACATTTAGAACCTAATTGATAAAATTTATAAGTTTGAGATGTAATTGGAAATGGATATATAAGTTTGGAACTAAATTGAGGTTTCTCCTAACGTTAAAGGTCAAGTGACTAAGTTGATCCGTACAACAATCAATGATGGCAATTTAGGTGCACATAAGACAGCCTAGAGAGCAATACAGAAGAGAAAAGAGGACACTGACTTGTTCAAAAGAAATTTCATTGGATGAGAAATACTGTTTAGACAAGTGTTAAAACATCATAGGACAAAAAAAAAAAAAACCTCTTCCCCTTACAACCGCGTGAAAGTTTCCATCAACCACAAACGTTACGTGTTTTCTTATTTCACTCGGCAAATCCATCTTTTTTTCATCCTTCAAGAAAGTTGGTGCATATATTTATGCATACACAGTTCAGGCAAACTAAGGGAGTAACAAAACTCAAGAACAAGAAGTACAAGAATGGAGGAACTCCCTCTAGGCTACCGCTTCTACCCGACAGAACAAGAGCTGATATCCTTCTACCTGCATAATAAGCTGGAAGGGAGGAGACCAGAACTACAACGTGTGATTCCAGACATCAGCATTTACGACATCGAGCCATGGGATCTTCCACGTAAAAAGTCTTTTTGATGCAATTTGTTCTTTTTCAACTGCTGATAGACATGGTAGAAGAGTGTTAAAAATGCCCCTAGAAGGAAGATTAATGGTAACTTTGATTTGTTTCTTGCAATATGTTACAGAGCTTTCAGGAGAAGTATGTCAAGGAGACTCGGAGCAGTGGTTCTTCTTTACACCCAGGCAAGAGAGAGAAGCCAGGGGAGGGCGACCTAACCGGACTACAGCATCCGGTTACTGGAAGGCCACAGGCTCTCCTGGTTATGTTTACTCCTCAGATAATCGAGTGATTGGATTGAAGAAAACCATGGTGTTCTATATGGGAAAAGCTCCGAGTGGAAGAAAAACCAAATGGAAGATGAATGAGTATAGAGCCATTGAAGTTCATGAATCATCTAGTAATGCTACTCCAAAGGTGTGCACGTATCTGGTCTTTTGGTTTTTGCAACTAAAATGATGTATTTAGTCATGCAACTTGCTATCATTTTCATTACTAACCATCATTTGGCCGTACACCATTTTTTGAATGCAGTTGAGGCATGAATTCAGTTTGTGTCGAGTCTATGTCATATCAGGAAACTTTTCAGCATTTGATAGACGCCCTCTGGAAGCTTTGACAAGAGAGACACTACTCCTTGGAGATACAGCTACAACATCTGCTCAGTGCCCTACAATTGTGGAGATGACAAGCTCACCTGAAACTTCATCCTCGGGAGGAGACCATGTTAATCACCCAGAGACTGCAACAAGTACCAACTGGGGGATGGTAGATGGTCTACAACCACCTGCATGGGAATGGGCGGAACTGGATTGGCCCTGAGAAAAAGCATATGTAGATTTATAACCCAGTCCCATAAGACTACGTAGTTGTCCTAAGATAGAATAGGTATTCATGAGCTTGTCTTAGCTTCAAAAGTAGTAAATTATTTTTTCTTCATTTAGCATGAGGAAAGGTAAAAGGAATAAAAGAAAAAACAAGGAAAATATCCATGATATGTGAAATAGGAGACTTTTAGCATTCAGTATGAAATATCCATGATATGTGAAATAGGATACTTTTAGCATTCAGTATGAAAAATTAGTTGAGGCATATAAATGTTCAAAGTAACCAAGAGAATTGCCGAGTGTACGCCGGAGAATATATCATTCACTGGCTCGAACCAGTTTCAGCTCAACCTAGAATGATAGCGTCATTTATCTTTGTACAGTTTGAAGATGTCATCATCTTATCTGGCTCCAATAAATCTTCGCTTTATTAAATCCAAAAGCATACCTTGGAGGCTCGGAATCACAGAAACTGCTGTAACATGAAAGAAAACGTATAATATGATAACATTGGCCAAGGAGTTTGACGACAAAAAAGAAAAGAAAAGAAAAGGAATACCATACCAAAATCATAAAAAAGAAAAAGAAATACAGAAGCCAGAAATCAATGCATTGGCAAGTGGACATGCCATATCCAATGTCTTCAAGAGAATGAAGACCAAGTACAAATAGGTGAAACACATATATAATGATAACTACATGTAGACCACACACTTTTTTTTTTATACCACCAAGTCTGATAGTGTTCTAGAGTATGCTGGAACAGTATCAATTTTTGTCATAGAAACCTTGCAGCGTTTAACAAGTCAATAATCAAGAGGTTGTGTATCTAGCTACTTGAATGTTTGCAAAATGCTCTACCTTCAAGGCAAGCATGGATAAACCAGAATATTCAAGTCGCTTGCATAAAATTAGTCAAGCCTTATAGACCATTTGCAGTATCTCCATCGTTTGATATTATCCATGATATTACAAGGCTTTGCATAAATAAGTATTAATAATAGATATCGCCAATTATTAGGCATAGAGTTGGACAACTCAGAGAAATGACTTCCTGCCACAGACTGCACCCAAATGAGATTCCACATCAGTTCCCTGTGTGTTTTCATCATATCAATTCTATCAGGAATTAACTTATTCTCTCATGGTTAACCTTTTCTTGTAAGCCTGTTTGGCTAACCTTTCATGATTGATATTTGGAAACCTGCATTTTGACATCTCCTAACTTCTCCATATGTATTTCATTGGAGCACCATGCAATGCAGCGGCGCAGTTATCTGGCATCTACACAACTTTCATTCTGATATGCTTAGTGCACTGAATAGCTCCCATGATTTCGGCCCACAAGCTTAAGTTACATCTGCAATGCGCATATGCATCTAATACTATGCATCTAATGGCTCTTTGATGCACCCAGCTAAAGTGACTTATGTTCTTAACATATCACCATTACCAAACACCATCCCATGTCCAAGGAAATAAGTATCACTAGCCAGTGTAAGCCTTTTACAAATTCCCTGGAAACATATCAACTTATTGAGGGCCTCCTATAAGCAAACTCACAGTCAATTAAACTTTTCTGACAATAATGCCATCACATGAATTCTTAACTCAAACAAATGATCTGCAATAAAGATAAATTTCTGCACATTCTTTCCTAACTTTATCACTTTAGCGTTGTACCTGATCTGTGCACAATACTGACCCTTCTGGCTAGATCATTGCATGAGTTAAATTAACATTAAATCTTACAACTTTAAATATTTGTGATTTTCAGATCAGAGCACAAAGAAGAATACCGTCAGCTTGTTCAAGAAGAATATCTGCACCTCCTAACTTGGTTAAAAACAAATCCTGTGTTTTTTCACAACCAGGATAACTATTTGCCAACATTTTGCTACTCCTGCTTATATTAAAGCATTTAAGGTACCATCTAATTAATTTTCTACCAAGACTGCAGAGATATATGAACAGATTATCATGCAACAGATTGTATCATCTAACAATAGACTTGCTTTGATCTGGTAGTTGATTTTTTCTTCTTGTTTATTGTTCTTAAGAGTCTCCTATAGGCATTGACAAATTACTACTACAAGAGGACAACAAGAAACCCCATTGCTGTTTGGTTCCTTTTGGCTCGTTTTTAGTTGAAACCAAGAAACCCATTTGTGGTTAATTTGGGTGCATTTGGCTGGGTTTTGGGTTGCTTGCAGGGGTTTTTAGAGTGTTTAGACATTCCAGACCTTCTTGACTTGTTTCAAAGCTTGATATAGTGACACTTGATGCCAGTCCTCTAGAAAATAAACACGTTGGCAGAAATTGAAGGTAAACCTAAGGGAAAAGAAGAACCATGGACATTTGAGAGAGCATCAAGAAATTCCTACGTTCCATTTCATTTATGTGAGCGAAGGAAGCTCAATGATACAGTCACGCATAAAAAATCCCACACTGCAAACACACTTAGCATTTTTTTGGGTTACTTCTTACTGCTTATTGACCAGATATAATAGAAACATTCTTCTGCCAATTAACTTCATATGTAGAACCACCATATGGAAGCCTTAGTTACAATGAGAATAGTATGATATGAAAGGTAATTTATCCCACCATCAAACCCTTCCTGCATCATGTATGGCATAACAACCAAGAACATAACTTTCCTAAAATTTACAGTACAGTCATCATTCCAGAAATCACAAGCAAGGATTAGCATCTGCACCCAAGTCAACTTTATTTGACTAGCCAACCAGCCATGTAAGATCAGAAGGTTAAAGAGCAAAAAAACCTTCACCAATTAACAACTCAACTTTCAATAATTAAAACGCACAAGAAGAATATGGATTTGATGTCAACCGCGTTACAAAATCAACTTTCAATATTTAAAACGCGCAACCAAATTGTGGATTTTTATGAAAACCCAATTTTCCCGTTGCTGACTTTTGTGCACGCACCATTTCTAACTGAAAGCACCAACCCTCATGTTATAAAATCTCATGTTCAACTTTATAACTCCTTTCAATATCAAAACGAAAATCCAATAAAAGTCAAGAACTGCTTTTTTCTTTCCATTTCGGCAAGAGAGAATAGAAATTGTCAATGTTTCCTTCGATTTTTCCCAATTTTTGGTTTCCCATATCAGAAAAGAAAAACAAATAAAGTACTCTGTGTCAACTTCTCTTGAACAAAACTAAGCATTTTCTTTCCTCCAAAATCCAAGAAGGAAACAGAAAATTAAACCAGAAATCCAATAAAAGTCAAGAACTGCTTTTTTCTTTCCACTTCGGCAAGAGAGAATAAAAATTGCCAATGTTTCCTTCATTTTTCCCAACTTTTGGCTTCCCATATCAGAAAAGAAAAACAAATAAAGTAAATTACTCTGTGTCAACTTCTCTCCAACAATACTAAGCATTTTCTTTCCTCCAAAATCCAAGAAGGAAACAGAAAATTAAACCAGAAATCCAGCGAAAATTCACAAACACAAAAACAACCATGTACTGTAACGAATCTACTTATTATGTCTAAAAACTCTTCAATGTAATAAAACCAGCATCCACATATGCATTGCACCAACAAAACACGATACTTTGACATTGAATTTACACCAAAAATAAATGCTGAACAAAAATCATAATATTTCGATCTTTCTTCATTGCCAGTAACAGGGGAGACAAATGGGTCAAAAAAGGCATTGACAATTCAAAATAAGCATGAACAAGAGAAGACATACCTTAAGATTTCTAGCCATTTCTTTCGCAAAAAAGAAGAGAGTAACGAGACTTGCAACCAAACCAAACCAACCACGAGAGAGAGGATTTAGTTATGCAGGGTAAGAGAAGGAGAGCCGCCCTTTCTGCGATTGACTATTCAGTATACAGATGTGGGCTTGGCGGCCTGGTTTGCTGGCTGGCTGGTATTGGGTTTTGCTTTGCCACCTTTAGAGGACAGGCGGTCGCTGTCGTGTGTAAAGACGCAGAAGAGTCCACTCCAGTCAAATTCTATTTTGGCTCGCGCTCTGCCTTTTCCACCGTTACCCATGTTGTCGCCATCTATAGATTACAAAAGAAGAACAAAAACAAAACACAACGTGAGTTACTGTATTGTTCTTATTTTTCGTTCTTCTATCTAGCAGATGAAATCAACTATTTAATTTCCTTTTGAACAGTTTATTTTCCTAATGTAAGAATGGACTGCATGTCTGTTTGCTCTTGCATTTGAGGACTGAGGTATTCTTACAAAGTTTGTTGGGATAAAAAATATATTCAATTGATATTTGTCAAATTATATTTCTTGTTATGTGTAACATCGTATTTAACTTTTTTAATTAATTTTTAACAGATACATTTAAATGTTTATTGAATTTAAAAGTTTAATATTCAAAATCTAAATAATTTTATATAAAATTTGATCGTTCATAAATAACTTAGTTTTTTCTTTTATTTTTAAAGTAAATAAATAAATTTTAACTTCGTTTAAATAAAAATTCAGAACATAAAGTAATTTTATCTTTCATCGCCCTAAGTGCCTGTAAATGGTCTTTTCCTTTTTGTTATTCTTTAATTGATTCGGTATTGAATAATCAATCTTTAAATGTCTCTTAGCTTTTTGCATCCATATATAGCGAATGATTTGGTCATTTTTTTACTTTTCATCTCTCTAGTATTTCGGCTTTTAGGAAACCTTTAAGTTGTGATCTCGATGAGTATTTAAGTGTTTTCAAATTCTTGTATTGTTCAATGGTCATTATTTTAATTAAGATCCTAAGATATATGTAGAGACTTTAAAATCTTGCTCAGCGTCTCTAATTCTTTTATGGTTCTTATAAGATTTTGCAGTCAATTAACATTGATCAAATCTTGCCATCGATCGTATGTTGTTATTTTCATAGGCCTCCTTTTTGAAGGTTTTTGTTACGATAAATTAGCAAAAACAAGACAAATAATGACAAAAAATAAATCTAAATAAATTATCAATACATAGGATTTACGTGATTCGGCAAATTACTTACTCTACGTACGGGCGAGATGGAAGTTTTATTAGCTTAATAGCAAGAGAATACAAAAACTCCATAAGCTCAATACAAAGTCTATACCTTTCACTCTATTACCTAAATATAGACATAAGGAGGTTTAAATACTTCATACCTCTAAAAAAAAACCTAATGGACTATATATATTATTGGCCTATAAAATTCAAGCCACACATGACAAATCTCAACCTTGACTTGAATTCTACAAACCTTCAAGAATGTCAAATGATTTCTCAAAACACACTTTTAAGCTTATGTGAGCTAACTTGGTGTAAAAAAACAACGAGATGTGAAGAGAGAAAATATTAACTTCAATGTTGGGACTTACAAAATTCTTTCTCTCCAATTAAAAAACCCCAACATACACAAACAAATGCTTGAAGCACATGGGTAGAGACAAACCACACGACCAAAGCAACAAAATGGCATGTTCGTGCTTCACTTTTCAAAACACAACCTCTATATAGATAGAAGACTTTTGAATACCCATTGTCTCGGCTCCAATGAGGACATAGGCTATTAGATCGAGCATAAGCATATATCCGAGGAGGTCTTATCTGTCTTCTCTCTCGACTAGCTATTGAGTAAGGTTGTTCAAATTTTGTGGCATATTTATTCATATATGAATCTTGTTGCACGTCCGCAACAATAGGGGATGCATATTGGGATGGTTTTTAAGGAGTCTCTCTTTTAAACTCCACTGAAGCTCCATTTTATCCACGACTTTCTCACACTTTCCTATAGACTCATAAACAACCTTTCCTTGATCAAAACCTTTCCTTGATCAAGTATATATTTCTCATTAAAAGTAACATCTCTACTAATAATGAATTTAGACGAATTAGGTTTAAGGTTATCATGAATTGGGTTCAAGACACCATAGAAGATAGCCTTTCACCCCATTAGCATAGCCAATAAATATGTATTTTTTTGCTCTAAGTTCAAATTTATCATCTTTAACATGATAATAAATAGGGCATCCAAGTACTTTTAAATTTAAATAATCGCTAGATTTACTTGATCATACCTCATTTAGAGTCTCATAATCAATAGCGATAGAGGGAGAACGGATGATAAGATAACAAGTTATGTTAATTACTTCAACTCAAAAATCTTTTTCCAAACCCAAATTAGAGAGCATACATCTAGCTGTCTACATCAAAGTCATGTTCATGCACTCTTCCACCTTATTTTGCTAAGGAATGTGTCTAATTATACGATTCCGGACAATCCCGGAGTTTGCATAAAACTCATTAAAATTTTCACCATAAAATTCCAAGTCATTATATGTTCCAAGACGTTTAACCTTCTTTCCCGTTTAATTCTTTACTAGATCTTTCCATTGTTTGAAGGTTTCGTAAAGATCACCTTTATATTTCGGAAAATAAACTCAAAATTTTTTAGAGTAATCATTAATAAACGTTAGAAAATAAATTGCACTACCTTTGGATGGAACATGAGTTGGTCCCCACAAATTTGAATGAAAGTAATTAAGTATGCCTTTTGTAGAATGAGTGCCAATAGAGAACTCCACTCTAATTTACTTTCTTAAGATATAATGCTCACATAAATCAAGTGATGTTATTTGATCACCACAAAGCAAACCACATTTACTTAGAGTAGTCATACCTTTTTCATTCATTAACCTAGACGCATATGCCATAATTGAGTCCTTTCTTTTTAGAGTAGGAAGTAATCACCCTTACAGAGTTTGTTAATATACTACCTTGTAACACATAAAGACAAATCCGAGTTGATTTCATCATAACCAAAGAACTCTTAGAAACCTTAAGAATTTCATTTTTACCGAATAGTCATAATCTCTCGAATCTAGATAACTCAAAGAAATTAGATTCTTCTTTAAATATGGTATATATCTTACTTTCATCAAAGTCCTCACAATTGAATCATGACACCCGATATGAATTGTACTAATACTAATCGACTCACAAGTCGAATTGTTGGCCATTAGAACAAAGTCACCACTTACAGGTTTATAAGTGATAAACCACTCTTTATTTAGACACATATAATAAAAAAACACTTGTATCCAAAATTCACTCTTGATAAGAAAGACCATTTAGAGGACATACGAGTAAGAACACTTTTAGTGGCATCAACATCGGTAGCTTTCGTCATATTAGAAGACTCAAAACTTTAACCATACGGTTTCTCCTTCTTCTTTAGAGCATGACAATCGATCTATAATGACATTAGTAGCACACAACATTGTTTTTCTCATTCGAGAGTGATCTAGACTTGAAACAGAATTTAGGTCTTTCTTTATAACCCTCTCTATACTTCGTCTTCCCTTCACTAGCAAACCATCAACTCGATTATCAATAACTTTACCATTCGACTTATTTTTCAACTCAGCAAAATTCAAAAAGGCCTTAACATCCTCTAAAGTTATGGAATCTTTACCATATAACATTGAATTAACAAAATTCTCATACGAAGCAAGTAATGAACAAAATACAATAAGAGCTTGATCTTCCTCTTCAAGTTTAATATCAAGATTTTTCATATCCATAACAATCTCATTGAATTTATCAAAGTGTTCTTGAATAGACGTACCTTCTCGCATCTTTAGTGTATAAAGACATTGCTTCGAATACAATCTTGTTGTAAGATATTTATTCATGTAAGGCTTTCTAACTTTTTTCATAGTCTTACCGCCATCTCTTCATCTCGTGACTTCTCGCGATATCTTGTCCGACAATGGTAATTGCGAGTAATATGAGCTTTTTCATCCATCTTTTCAATTTTCGCCAAAGTCACGTCATCCGGGTATATACCCTCAATTGCCTTAACACGGCCTTCGTGTCGCAACAAAACTTTCAATTTTATCCTCTATAGGCCAAAATTCTTTTGACCATCAAAAGGTGAAATATCAAATTTCAAAGCTATCATTACGAACGAGAAAAACTCAAAGATGCGTAACCTACACTCTAATACCAATTTGTTATGACAAACAACAAAAATAAGACAAATAATGATAAAAAATAATTAAAAAATAAAGCTAAACAAATTATCAACATACAAGATTTATGTGGTTTGACAAATTACCTACTCCATGAGTAAGAGAGAAGGCTTATTAACTTGATAGCGAGGAGAATACAAGAACCTTGGAAGCTCAATACAAAGTATCTTTCTTTCACTCTATTACTTAAACAAAGACATAAGGAGGTTTAAATACCTTATACCTATAAAGAAAGAAACCTAATGGGCTAAATATATTATTAGCTTACAAAATTCAAGCCACGCATGATAGTTTCAAAAACTACATTTAAGAGTATTGATTTTGAATTATTCAGCTTGAGTTATTCCTTTACAACAATCTGTAACGTCCTTTATATATCATGAATAATGGTGAAAGTGAAAATACTACCGCATTCACTATGGTAAACATGTGTATGTGTGTTTTCCGGGGGTGATTGCATTGCCTTTATCGGTGAGTTTTTTCCTAGTAATACCAACTATGGTCTTGTTAGCCATCTTTACTATGGTTCAGCCCTTTGCTGAGATTTCCAAGCTCTATTTGGGATTTGATAGCTACTAACATTGTTCTTGATGGTGAAAATAAAGTGTTTTATGATTTAAAAAAAAACTCAATATAAACCCACTTGTTGTAATTTCAAATTTACCTCCAATGAAGATGTGTTTTTATCATAATTTTACAAATGAATAACACTAATTACTCTCACAAAGAATAGATAATAACTAAAAATTAAGCTCACTGCACTAACAAGAATAATCTTTATAAGTTTAATTCACTATAATCTCATGAATGTATAAAAGAGACTTTTATTTAATTTTCCTTTCTTTCTTGCTTTCTCCTATTCTTTACACTTTTTGCCCATACCTCTACAATATGGTTTATTAAGTACGTTTATCAGTTGTTTTTTATACTGAAAACAATCAACTTTAGCAATTTTAGCAAAAAAAAAAAAAACATTTTTTTTCTTTTTGTTGTCTGTAATTTTGCTTCTACTCCTAAATTTCTCATATCCTGGGATAACAAATCTAATCGTTTCTTTGTTTATTTTCTTCCGGTGCTGAAGATTTATCGTTCAGATTCAGATATTAATTGAAAATTACTATAAATTTATGCATTAGATCATATCTAGGTATTGATTAAAAATCTCTCTTTTAGTTTGATTAATTATATTTTGAATACCCATAACATCGAGGAAATTAAGTTAGCTACTTAATGCCATTATAAAATTTAAGTTAATATGATCGTGCCCGTATGTGATAAATTTTTTTAAAAAAATCATACATAGAAGATTTTATAAAAATAATCTATCACGGTTTATAAAATAGAAATTTAGAAATATATATGTCTCGCAGACTCTAAAGAAGGATGTCTTCAAGGTTTTTGGGCTTCAAGGAGTGTTGTCTTTATTTTACTTTTTCGTTTTTAATTACGATTAATTGTCTAATTTCAGAGTAGGGTAGGTTAGCCTCATCCCAAGCGGATTTGAATCCTATTTTAAAAGCAATTTTTTATTTAATAATATAATTTTAAATAATAATAATAACCATGCAACGAGTTAGTGAGCATAGAATTAGTTAATTTATAAATTAAAAATATCCATGGATATAATTATTTCAAGCATCATTTGTGGCGTTTTAATTTTGCCAAGTTTGTTTTCTTTTTTCTTTTTTTTCCCCTTTTTTTGAAGACTTCTATAATTTCCAAATAAAGAGAAAAAATTAAAAATTAGATACGAGTTCTGAGGATTCGCTTGGGTTGTTCAGTTGTTGTGAACAATATATATATATATTATTTTGGTTTGTATGCATAATTCTGAAAACTTATAAGGAACCTATTACCCGGAAATTTCATGACTAATTCTAATTTGTTATTCTTTTTGTTCCACAAAAAAACCTCGTTTGATTATTTAGAGAAAAATTAATTAAATATTGTGTCCAGTCAATTGTTAGTCGCTTAATTATTGTAAAAAGCAACAAAAAAAATAACCAATTGTAAATCAAAATAACTTTAATTTATTATCTCTCTCATTAAATCTAATTAATTTCATGAACATTTTGATGGATTACCTGTAAGTTTATCGTGGATGACGTGTTAGACACTTTCAACCCATATTCGATTGGACCAAACAGAAGAAAGCACCCAAAACACGTTGCACTAAAAGTGAAGTCATTGGCTAACAATATTAGAGATCAGATCCAATGGTTATTTATTTATTTATTTATTATTGCTATGTTACATAAGACATCTTTTTAAGTTAAGTTTGTTTTACTTGCAAGCACTTCGGTTTGGATAAGGTTAGTTTGATAGTCCTCATCGTTTTCTTGTGAAATTTTTGTTAACAAATGACTAACTATATTCATGGACGTCGTTTTCATTACTAATAGAGAACTTGAAAAAAAAAACAAAAAAAGTGCTCAAATTCGTTGGATTTTAAATCTTATCTATATTTGGAAGTCGATGGATTAACACAACCAGAATCTAGAGATTTGTTTAATTAAATTAAAGTACAATATTTGGACCAGGAAAAGAAGGGTGGGGGTGGGGGAAGAACTCCTTTGGTTGGACCAAAAAGAGTAATTAGACAACGTAAAAAAAAAAAAAAAAAAAATAGTATCTTATCCGAATTGCAAGAAAAAATATTATTTAAGGTTGATACGACGACCAGGATGAACGGCTGTCATCTTAAGATTTTGAAAGCAGCACATCTGGACTGAATTTTTTATTTAAAAAAAAAAAAAAACAATCAAGTGAAGTTAAAAAATTGGATAATCTCCTAAGAAGTTGAATAAACAACTTCTTCCAGCTTTTTATGAAGAATCAGAAAGCGGACCGGTCACGTAGATGCCACCACGGAATGACTAGATATCATAGCTAAAAAGTAACTGAAAATAGGAACAAAATCAAGAGTAATAAATTTATGGAATATTTCATTCAAGCTCGTAAATAACTGAATTAAGTTTTTGCTAAAAGGCCATGCTTCAGTGGTCTAAATTCATGCTCATTTTTCACAAAAATGATTGGCATAAATCCACTATTGAATTTACATCATTCATCATCCGTGTTCAAAATCAGAAAACGAATACAAATATTTTTAATATAAATAAGCTATCTTTTGACTGAAATTTTTTTCTTGTTATATAAAATTTGATTCGAAATTAACATTGACCATAAAAACAAAAAAAAAATTGCCACCATAACAATTCTTGAATTTAAATGCATGTTATTTATAATTCAAAGAAAAAATCTAATTGGTCATGAAAGTTTGATTCCTATTTTATCTTTTTGAATTTAAATCTTAGACTAATAACTAAGAAAATTTGTCCTTACTAGATCCATGGAATGAATGTGCCCTAAAAATCATTCAAAAAGAGAATTCAAAGATGGATCTAATCATGATCTCAAATTTAGTACTTATCTATCTCAAAAATTGTTGATAAATTATTATATGTATCACCAACTGCACTCTTCTTATAACATAAACTATCTATGAAAAAAATAAAGACAATTGCAAATTTACCGTTAATCTATTGGGTAGTTCAATTATACGATCAAAATATTGTTCATATCAATCGTATCATTAAAATAATTTTATTTTTTAATTAGACCATTCGATTAAATATATTTAATGAAATCATTAACTATCAACATGCTCCTCAAATGATCTCCAAAAGATGATGAAATTAGAAGGAAATTTTCTCTTTTAGTATAGTGTGACGAATAATAATTAAAGCTATTATTTGAGAGATTTAAAATTTTATATTTTGATATCACCTTAAACACATGATTTGTCTTGGAAAAGAAATTGAAGAATTTTTTTTTTCAATTTCCCCCAATTGCAAGGATCACGTGAGGAGCATGTAGATATTTAACGATCATGTTAAGTATATTTAACAAAATGGGCTAATTAAAAAATAAAAATTCTTTGATGATACAATTGAAATGAACAGTACTCTGATGTATAACTGACACTACCCCAATAATTGGGTGGTAAATTTGAAGTTTGCCCTTAAAATTATTCATTGGTATATATTTTTATAAGAGATGGACTAAAGTGCAAAACAAGTTTACAAAAACGAAAATGCCGACAGATTAACAGAATCTCAGCCGACGGTTGTACCAAAGGACACGTGTAGCGCACTCAGATTGAACAAGAAGCAAAATGCAAAAGCATTTCCATAAACAAATACATTCCACAACGTGTTAAATATGCCTTTGCCGAAAGATAACGTTAATTCTAAAAATCAAGCAAGCAATTTTACCCCTCCCCTTGTCTGTCTCTCTTCAAATTTTCAGACATAAAAGCCAGCAAAGGTTGTTAGAAGTTAGAACCCAAATCCATCAGAAAAGAAAATTAATATTAACCGACAATGAGTAACAATCTCTGTTCTTGGTCTCGGCTAGAAGACAAGCAATTCGAGAAAGCCCTTGTTTTGTTTCCCGAGGAAACGCCAAACAGATGGGAGAAGATTGCAAGCTATGTTCCTGGAAAGAGTTGGCGTGAAGTCAGGAAACGTTACGAGGATTTGGTTCATGATGTCTTGGAGATTGACTCTGGACGAGTTGAGGTGCCGAGTTATTATCAGGATGAGTTGTGGGGCGAATCGAGTTTGGGAAGGGCTGCTGAGTCTAAAGGAAAAGAGAGAGAACATACAGAGAGGAGGAAAGGAAATCCTTGGACAGAAGAGGAGCACAGGTAATTAATTTGAATTAGGATTAATTATTGAAATTAAATTCCCAGTTGGTTGTTTCCCCTTGGCTCAGCTGAATTTTGAATTCCGTAGCAGGTCCAAAATAGTTCGATTAAAACTTAATTATTACTGAGATGAAAAGAACTTAGCGTTGATCGTGCTGCTTAAAACCTGACTTAAAAGGTTTTAATTTGTACACACGAAAGCTAGCCTAAGACAACTTATCTTTGAGACCCATAAAATTAGGTAATCGCGTGCAGTTAATAATTTAACCGTATTTTGTCTTGGTGTTTATAATTTTTTGCAGGCTTTTTTTAATAGGACTGCAAAAATATGGGAAGGGAGATTGGAGGAGTATTTCAAGAAATGCAGTGGTGTCAAGAACGCCTACACAAGTGGCCAGTCATGCCCAGAAGTATTTTCTTCGTCTAAACTCAGTGAAGAAGGATAAGAAAAGGTCAAGCATCCATGACATTACCACCACTGATGCAACTCAACCAATGGCACAAACCAATTATGAATCTTATGAGCCAAATTGGAATTTTGAGTTAATGGATCAATCTGTGGATGAACCATTGAGCCACCCAACAAAATTTTTCCACGATCAAGGTAGCCCGCCAGCCTATCAAGGGTTCGGATTTCCCGTGTGATTAAGTAACAGGAGTTGGATGTCTTGTAAATATGATTACATAGTCTAATCTGAAGCAACTAGCAAGGTTCGACAGGGACTGAAAATATGAAGGAAAAAAAATTAGGGGATGTTGTTTAATATTTAGTGTGTGATACAAAGAGTGTAGAACCCGACTGTATATACGTTTACCAAGAAGGGGGAAAAAAAAGAGGGAAGCTGTGATTTAAAATGTTACAAAAATTGCTATACAAATATGTGAGGGATTAAGCTCCTACCACACTTGATGACAATTTGATCTGTCGTATGTTAGTTTAGCCTATTTGCGTCTTTTAAATTGAAATTCTAAAGGTTGTGAAAAAAAAACTTTCAAATCACATTTTGATTTTTCTAAATGACAGCCATTCATGACAAAATAATAAATAATAATAATAATGAAAATGAAACTTCTCATTTTACACAACATCATTAATCATTTCAAACAAAAGCTTGAGGGTGATCTCAACACCCCATGGATCGCCACTATGTCTTAGGCCAATATTTTGGGCTGTTTCTGTTGAGGTAGTAAGCCCCATTAGCCTGTATACTTTAAATTGTTTTGGTTTTGGGCCTTTTGCCCCACTGAACTTTATTTTTTTTAAAAAAAAAAAAACACTAAAGCACGAGAATTTAAAATAACAAGAGTTAGTGTTACCTATATATATATATATATATATATATACACACACACTGACAGTCCTCCGGTTTCTGATTCACGGTGTCCAATTTGGACCAATTACATCAACTAGTTGGGTATTGATCCCTTTTTTTTTTTTTTTTTTTGGTCTTTGTAAAATACTTTTACATATTTTGCAGCAGGCCACCATTAGTAACCAAAAAAAAAAAAAATCCCTAACATTATCCGAAAAAAAAGAAAAAAAAATACTAATCAAGAGGTAATATGAAGATTGAAGGACAATTATGGCGATTTAAAAGCAAAACACTTATTATTTTAAGAGCTGTTATTGTCAGGCTGGAGAGGTTCAAACTCGCGTCCATGACTCAAGTTCGAAGTAACATAGTCATGCATCGAGAGATTGAAAAGTTAGATTAATTCACAAGAAATATTTTTTTGAATTTAGAATTCAATGGGTAACTTAAAAAATGTTTCAGGTCTAAATAAGTTTATTGGTTATTGAAAAAAAAAACAAAAAACAAAAATAAAAAATATATATAAGAAAACAAAAATTTGTTGGTTAACCTTTAAAGAAATCGGCAAGTGTAAGAAGTAGCAGGATAGATGTGACCATATAAAACCCCACCAATCGAAAGACATGCCCGCGTAGACTTACCGGTGGTGAGAATCGCATACCTTGCCGGCTCCACCCTTTGATTTTCCAACTCCCTTTCAAAACCCCAAAAATAATATATTAGGAAAAAAAAAACCTAATGTCCCTGCCCCTACCATCAAATTGAAAATACAGAGAGGGAGAGAGATGGCGATTATTTATGCGGTAGTGGCGAGGGGGACGGTCGTGCTTTCGGAGTTCAGCGCGGTGACCGGAAACACAGGGGCGGTGGCGAGACGGATCCTGGAGAAGCTTCCATCGGAAGCTGATTCAAGGCTTTGCTTCTCGCAAGATCGTTACATATTTCACATACTTAGATCCGATGGCCTCACTTTTCTCTGTATGGCAAACGACACCTTCGGCAGTACGTATTCATAGCTTTCCATCTATCGCCAATCACTGAGTGTTCTATTTGATCTCAATTTTGAACTGATAAAAATGAAATTATGGTGCTTGGAATTTTAAATTTTCTTTACTGATGATTGTAGTTCCGATTATCGAATCGCGGAAAATGGAATTATTTTACGTAATTTCAAGATTTAATCGAGAATCTAACGAGATTTATCAAGTTTTTGGAAGAGAGCAATCCGATTTTATCTGTACGTAGAAAATGATTTCTTGAGAAATCGTTACTGCTGTTGACGGAAATCACCTTTGATTAAAGAAGGAAGAGTTTTTGATATATTTGACCATACATTTAGAGTGTGATTGTTCCTATTAGAAGCATGTAAATTTGCAAAGTATGAAATGAATAACTAAATTAATGACTGGCACAGTGGCACAGAGTTTATCTCCGACTTACTCAGGTTTGTCTATGACATTTAGCTGATTTGGAATGGTGAAATTGCGGTTTCAGTTGGCGACTGATATAGTTAGGTGTCAATTTGTTAGTTGCGTTTTAATGTTTTGTCTCGGACTGGATCACTGCCATTAACTCTCACTTGATTAAAATAGAGATTTTCCAGTTTTTCCCTTGCTGTCTTTATGGTATATTATAATGTGTTAGCTTGTGCTTGACCCAGGGAGAATTCCATTTTCGTACTTGGAGGATATTCACATGAGGTTCATGAAAAATTATGGACGAGTTGCCCACTATGCACCTGCTTATGCAATGAATGATGAGTTTTCAAGGGTTCTGCATCAGCAAATGGAATTTTTCTCGAGCAACCCTAGCACTGATACTCTCAGTCGTGTAAGAGGTGAAGTTGGCGAGGCAAGTACCTTATGGTCTCCTGCAAAGTCTCTTTATGTTATTTTTCTTTTACAGCTTTCTAAGCAGATACCATAGCAAACAATTCATTTTAATGAAATATTATAACAAAGAGTACATTATTCTAGTGATTGCATCAAAGAGCATACATCACACACAACATCCTCCAAGAAACTGGCTTGAACCCAAAACTGGAGAATATAATCATCCCTTGCTCATTTCTTGACCTTAATCTTTTTTATCTCATATTCAACTGGTTGCATGATCGAGATGGCCTTTCTCTATCTTCTGCACATTGGTGCCTCTTCAAGTGCACAAAAAAGATTCACTTATTTCAGTTTGAACTTAAGCACCTTCTCAGGTTATTTACTAAGTGCCTAGTGCTAAACAGCAGATAGTTGTTACTACAGGAGCTAATGAAGAATATGCATTTATGGACGCTTGTTTGAAAGACTGGATGTTAGTTAATAGCAGCACAACATTCAGTTTGTTTTTGCAATGTATCCATGTATCTATGAAACACTCAAGTATCGTGGAAGATCGAGTTTTCCAAATATTGCACTGCTTATAGGTGGTCAATGTGTTTAACTGAAGCTAGCACATGATGCAAGTCAAAGGCTTTCAGCTGTCTAAAAAGAAATCTATGATTCTTTAAGTAGAGTAAGAACCAAACCAAATAGAATAAAGCTAGAGTTTACTTTCTTTTTTCTTTATTTTTCTCTCCAGCCTTGTGCGTATGACATAGGATAATCTAGTTCTACGGAATGATGGTAAACTTATCTTAATCCTGATAAATAAAATTAGCAAATGAAGACATGTTGCGCAGAAGAGATTGACATAAACAATCCTCTTTCACTGGTGCATGCCCCCCCCCCCCCCCCAAACACACCAACCACTTTGCTTTGCTTACTATTAACTTCCTATATCCTTGAATTATTTGGCAGAACCTTTCAAATAATGAATTGTATTTTTCTTTCTCTTTTCATATGCAAAGAAATTCAAGTAAATTTTATAGTATTAAAAAAAAAAAAAAAAAAAAAAACAAAATGAACTACCTTAATTGCTAATTTGCTGTAAACTAGTTCTCATTATTTGCACATGCATCACACAATATTTTGTTCCAGTTGATTGCAGCCTTATAGTTTATCTAGGGGGGTTTAAAAAAATAATAAATAAAGAAGGTTATTTAGGGCTCTTGAAGTTCATGAATATCATTGCTTCCAATGATAGAATCTCTTTCATTGTATCCTTTTTCCTGGGGGTGGTGGAAGGTGGTGGGGTGTGGGAATTTTTTTCCTTTTCCGATCATTCATTTTGTGCTCACAAGTGCTGGAAAAGTGTGTGCAGATCCGTACAATCATGGTAGAAAACATCGAGAAAATACTCGAGAGAGGTGACCGAATTGAGCTTCTTGTTGACAAAACTGCTACAATGCAAGATGGTGCATTTCACTTCAAGAAACAGTCCAAGCGCCTTCGAAGAGCTCTTTGGATGAAAAATGCCAAGCTCTTGTAAGAGCCTATGATTTCCTATCACCACTTTGCATTTTAATTTCTTAATTTTTGTTCATTGATACTAAAAGTTTTTTTTTATTGCAAATGCATAGAGCATATTTAAATTTCTAAATAAGAGCACTCTGGAAGTTGCTAGAGAAGGGCAGTTTAAGGCCAGAAAATCTTGATGGAAAAAGAAAAAGAAAGAAGGACCTCTCATCAGGGGAAAAAATTGGCTCATTTCCCTCACTAGATGCAAAAATCCATATGCTCTTAATGATGAAGATTATATATATATATATTCTTAATGGGTATGCGAGGTTTTAGAAACCCAAATAAGGCAGCACTCGTGTAAGCATATTCTCCTTTTATAATGTCATATGCCCCACCTGGCTTGTCTACTCAGAAAGATGTGACATTTAAATACTTAATCTAGATGATGATTGCCATGAATGTCTAATCTTGACTGTAACTATTGGAGCATCCAACATAAACCTTTGGATATATTTTTTTTCCTGTGAACTATGCTAGAACTTGGATGGTGGATGCAAAATAGATTTAGTAACCTCTTACATATCAATTACAATCAAGGTTTTATTATCTAATATTTTCTTATTCTGTACGTAGCACATATTGAAAAGGTTGGCATGGATTTCTAAGCAATTGCTCTACCTGTTTCTTCATTTTTTACATAGATGGGGGCAAAAGTCAAAAAACCCAAATCTTCAAGAATCAATTCTTATGGCACTGTAAAAATGGCTTAAATTGCTAGCAGCTGACTGGTACATAAAGTGAGCTCAAAATTTATGTTTACATGACAGGGCCCTGTTGACATGCTTGATTGTTTTGTTGCTGTACATAATTATTGCCGCTTGTTGTGGAGGCATCACTCTACCTTCATGCAGATCTTGAGTTGCTGTTTTGTTGGTGCCGGATTTCTGTCAAGGTACGCTGAATGATCATCAACATCCATAAATGTGTCTTTCATTCGAGGGTAGCTCCAATGGACCATGCAATTTTCACATGTATGTGGAATCTAAACCTCCCCAGGTGCCAGAAATAGCACTGTAGATTCCCCTGCTGTTATCGCATGTGGTGTATGTGATATTTATTAAAGAAAAGCCTGATGTCTTGGCTTTTTGTTGTTACTAGTCATCTGTGTACGCTGTAAATTCTTTGATTCTTGCTATTTTGTTATTTAGAGTTGAGTTTCAGATTCATATTTGGAACATCTGCCACTCCATATAACTATGCTGTCTTCATCTTTCAGTCTGTGTAAACCATGTCTGTGACTCATTTTTCTTCTTCCCATTTCATGACAATCTTTCATGCATGGTTGCATGCGCAAGGAGATGTAGCTTTTGTTTAGATACTTAAATTGGGCCAAAGCAGCTGTCTTGTTTTCAGTATTTTCTTATCTCTTCCATCTTCTTCTTTCTGGTAAATGGAAGAAGTTCGAGTTTGGTGTTATACATGCAAGCTATTTGAACCCTCGTTTCCTTTCAAGCATCCTCTAGTGAAACTTGTCTGGAGCAGGCATTGAAGCTTTTGTGTTCCTTTTTTTAAAACACTTAATGTTGCTCAGTCTTACGGTCCAACAAGCAAAATTTGCAGAATTACTGGTAAATACTATTTAGTTAATATGATAATATAAGCATAAAATCATAGCTCATTAGAACAATAATAAGAATAACGATAATAAAAATAGGACAGAAGCACTATATTGTATGGATGATGGCACTGGCACGGGTTCTTCCTTTTCTTCTGCATGCGCACAATGGGAGAATGTGGAATCCATTATTAAGTTGGTCAAAGGGTCTCTCTCTCTCTCTCTCTCTCTCTCCCTCTCCCTCTCTCTCTCTTATTTGGAGAATAGTCAGTTTCTGCAACAGGAGGTTTAGGCTTTCAGTTCTCTACCCTTCCTCCAGTTGGGGCCTTCGCTAAGTTGGGTAAAGCCATTAAAACTAGTGGAAATGATAAGTATCGTTGATCTAACAAAAAGGGTCATGAAATTGAGATAGGGGGAGTCGCATCTCTATTCAATAATTGACATATAGCAGCCTGACTAAGTACAGGGCAAAAATAGAGATAGCCAGTTGGCCACATTCCGCTGTCTGCCGTCTGCTCTTTTCTAGTTAAAGCGGTTCTAGCGTATACGGCAGCTAAAAGATACAAGAGAAAAGAAGAGGTTAAATGAGAAAAAGATAAGAAAGGAAAGGAAATAAAACTTTCTTTATTTGGGTCGAGGAAAGTTTGGTTTAGATTTATAGATGGGAAAGAAAGGAAAACAAACGGTGTGTGCGTGTGTGTATGTATTTTACTATTTTAACGTTATACATAACTTCAAGCATTGTTTTATGCATTTTGACAACTTAAACTTTTCAATGGATTTCCCTTAACTATAAAAAATCGCATCTGGATCAAACGTAAAACTTTTGAATGGGTCTTTGAACTGTTTACGAGTGAAAATTTTTATTTATTTTGAAAAAAAAAAAGGTTACAAGTGCATTGATCGGGAATAAGAAATTTAATATAGCAAAATATTGTAACATAATTATTAAACTGAATATTTTGTTGAACCATAAAATTTTGCTATTCATTTTTTTTATTTGATGACAAGAAATATTTTTAAATTATTTTACACGATAATTGAAACTAATTCTAACGTGATCTATGTCCTATTAAAGAAGAATTGAAAAGATAAAATGAAAAAAAAAAAGTTAACTAGGGTGTATTTATCAGAGAGGAAAACTTTTGGATTGATATCCTGTCATCTCTTAGACTTCATTAAATGATTAAATTCAAATTAATTGTGAGATTTGAAACATAAAAGTTGTGTTTTTAGGATTCGAATTCAAACTTTTTTGCGTATTAAAAAGGAAAATCATTGATTTTATTTCCTCTATTTTCCCTCCATTTCCTTTTCTTTTCTATTCCCAATTTTAGCATCCAAATGAAAGGAAGTTTACTTAATTTCCTTTTATTCTGCTCACATCTCCATTCCTTTCGCTCCAAACATAGGCACAGCATAATTTTTAAGCGCCTGAGACCAAAACAGGCAGTGAGGCTGTGAGGGTATATTTTTCTTGCTTTCACTCTGTAATTCCTCGCTGTCCATATATCTGATAGTGTCTTCCAATTCATTTCCCATTAATAACAATTTCTCCAGTGATTTTTCTTTCATTCCTGAAAAACTGTAAGGCTATTGCTTCCCATCTCTCTCTCTTTCGTTGCTTATGGCTACTTGTCCGAGGCTATTCTCTCCAGCTCCTGTAGCTAAAACTTCTCAATTAAACCATAAACCTATCCCTTTATTCTCTTCTCACAAATCTAATATCACACCTTCAAGAAAATCCCACCACCGAATTCAAAGCAGCAAGTTTGGAAGCTTTCTTGACTTGAAACCTGAATCGAAACCTGAGTTCTTGAATTTTGATCTCTCATGGTTTGATCCTGCTGATAGGTCTCGCTTTGATGTGATCGTTATTGGCACTGGCCCGGCTGGTCTACGTCTAGCTGAGCAAGTGTCCCGCTATGGAGTTAAGGTATGTTGTGTTGATCCTTCACCACTTTCCATGTGGCCTAATAACTATGGTGTTTGGGTTGATGAGTTTGAGAGCTTGGGGCTTGTCGATTGTTTGGACAAAACATGGCCTATGACTTGTGTTTATATTGATGAAAACAAAACCAAGTATTTAGACCGTCCTTATGGTCGTGTTGGTAGGAAGGAATTGAAGACAAATTTGTTGGAGAATTGTGTCTCCAATGGAGTTAGATTTCACAAGGCTAAGGTCTGGAAAGTGGAGCATAAGGAATTTGAGTCTTCAATTGTTTGTGATGATGGGAGCGAGTTAAAAGCTAGCTTAGTTGTTGATGCAAGTGGTTTTGCAAGTAGTTTCATTGAGTATGATAAGCCAAGAAGCCATGGCTATCAGATTGCTCATGGAATTTTAGCTGAAGTGGATTGTCATCCATTTGACATGGATAAAATGGTTCTTATGGATTGGAGAGACTCCCATATGGGAAATGAACCTTATTTGCGTGCAAATAATTCAAGACTTCCAACCTTTCTGTATGCTATGCCATTTGATTCAAACTTGGTGTTTTTAGAAGAGACTTCCCTGGTTAGTAGGCCTGTGTTATCTTACATGGAGGTCAAGAGTAGGATGGTAGCAAGATTAAGACATTTGGGAATCAGAGTAAAGAATGTAATAGAGGATGAGAAATGTTTGATTCCAATGGGAGGACCTCTCCCACAAATCCCTCAAAGTGCGATGGCCATTGGTGGGACTTCAGGGGTTGTCCATCCCTCAACTGGGTACATGGCGGCTAGAACAATGGCCTTAGCCCCAGCTGTAGCGGATGTCATTGTAGAGTGTCTTGGCTCAACCAGAATGATCAGGGGAAGGCCGCTTCATCACAGAGTGTGGAATGGCTTGTGGCCATTGGAGAGAAAGTGTACACGGGAATTTTATTCTTTTGGGATGGAGACTTTGTTGAAGCTTGATCTTGACGGGACTAGGAGTTTCTTTGATGCTTTTTTTGATCTGGATCCATATTACTGGCAAGGGTTCCTATCCTCAAGGTTATCTCTCAGGGAGCTTCTTTTAATGAGCTTATCTTTATTTTGTAATGCCTCAAATCCATCCAGGTTTGATATTGTTACGAAATGTCCTGTTCCCCTGGTAAGAATGATGGGCAATTTGGCACTTGAAGCCATCTAAAGGTACAAAGTTGCAGCATATATTGATCGTCTTGCTGAATAAAAAAATAACCAAAAAGGAGATGAATCTCGATTTATAATCTCTCGTCTCTGGCTAGGAGATGTGGACTCCTTGGTGTCCTGCCTCAACTAGGAGAGGATGTTTAATGTAATTGAACAAATATACAGCCGTTATAAATAGGAATTGCATGAATAAAGCACTCAAGCCTTGTCAGAATTTGATTAAATTATCTCTGCTGCACTCTTTGGACAACATAGGTGGACTGAATTTGCTATTGTATTACTTGAACTCTGATTGTACTTCTTAGGTCATATTTTACGACTTAGGTAAATTTCTCATAATAGATTAAGCTTCTGATGCAAAGAAAATTAAGTAGAATACCATACCAAATAATTTATAATGATAATGACATTAACACCTCAAATTACAAATACCTTAAAAATAAGAGAAGTACACTACATTGAAATGCATAGAAAAACATAATAAACCCATAGCTAAAACGTCCTTTTTTTCCCAGAACAACTTATTAGCCCAAATGGCTTCCAGTCATGAACCTCTTCCCAGTCAAACCACAAGAAAGAGCTTCCTTGGGAATCTTAGCAATATGTTCGACACCTTCAGCAAAAATCACACCCATGCCCATATGCAAATGTGGCTCAATATGGCAATGGAAGGCCCATGCTCCTGGATTATCTGCCACAAACCTTAGAGCAGTCCATCCATAAGGAAATATCACTGCAGTATTCCTGTAAGGAGGATCTTTCAAGTTGAATTTCTCCTCATCAGCTTTGGTGAACTTCTTCTCTCCATACCCTAGCACCCAAAAATCATGGCCATGCAAGTGCCATGGGTGTATTTCACTATTATTTTCAGCCAATGTGTTTGCATTTTGCAATATCACGTCCACTGTGCTATGGTAACCAAGCATGTAAACCCCATTTCCGGTATTGGTGTTAGAGTTTACTGGTCGCTTCATAACATCATAATCTCCCGGAAAATCCTCAGGTGGCTTCGTTTGGTCAAAAGCATTTTTTAGGCCAAATCTAATGGACCCCAAGTAAGGAGTGGCAGGTAATGAGAGGGAAACATTATTAATAGACCACTTAGTATAGCCATTCATCATGTTCTGAGTGTTTAGTAGGGCAATCCTACGGTGGTAAGTTGGTGGAGGCTTAGGGATACTTTTATGATCTAAGGCCTTGATTTTGTTAGAGAATGCTTTGCTGTGGGCATAATCATCCCATCTAGGAGTTACAGGAGGAGGTGAAATAGGGAGTTTTGAGGCAGAGTTGGTTTTATAGTTTAAAATGGTTAGGGCTTGTGGGGTTTTAGGTTTTCTTCCTCTTACACCTAGAGAAATCCAGTAGTTTTGGGAGGAGTCTTGACTTGTTTTTAGTAGGACTGAGTAACTCTCACCGGAATAAATATCCAAATCATTAGTCTCAAATGGTTGGAGATAATTTCCATCAGCTTCCACCACCATCATTTTGTGATTCTGTGAAAAAAAAAAACAATAAAAAAATTAACATGGATAATCTTATCCATCACATTAGCAATGACATTTGCATGATTCAAAATTAATCACAAGGGTGCAGGTCCTGCAGGAAACCAAACTTGTTTCATTTATTTTGTTTTTCCTTTCTTTCCTATTTCTGTAAGTTTCATTTGATTAAACAAAGAATCAAATAACTGGATTGGACCATATTCATCAGAACAACCTCGAATGGGCCAGTATACGTACTATAAGGAGCATGGGTCCTGTACCATATGGGCTATAGAAAAAGCAGTGAAGAACTGAGGATAGCAAGATTACCACTTGCCCATATATACGTATACATATACATACATACATACATACATACATATATATATATATATATTCTCCTAGTTGACGACTCAAGTGTAATCCGTGAAAGCAAATTATACATGGGCAACATATCAGTCTTTTTTACGCTAATTAGTCGATGCCCTTCTCGAGGAAACGATGATAGCTAGCGTAAAAAAGACTGATATGTTGCCCATGTATAATTTGCTTTCACGGATTACACTTGAGTCGTCAACTAGGAGAATATAAATATATATATTAGGTTAATAAAAAGGACGTACCAACATAAATTGTTTATAAAAAGTTAATCTTGCTTAATGTAGAAACTGTTTTGGTTTATAAAAATTTAATCCTGCTTAATGTACAAACTGTTTCCAGAGCATCTTCGCCATCGAAAAAAGGAAAGAAAAAGACTCACCAATCTTTTGATTTGGTCTATCATTTCTCTCTTTTTCATTTTTTGTTTTTGACTAAATTTTGACTTCTCTTTCTCCTTCCCCCTTTCTATTTCTCTTTCTAATGTTTTATTTTATATATTTCTGTGACCTTTGCTTAAAGAAATACTCTCGCTAACAATTTCATCAAGGGTTCAATAAATAAATAAAAATATTTTTTTAATTTAAATATTCAAAACTCGTAAACAGAATTAATTTATTATAATTTGAATTTATAATCTCTTATTAAAATAATTAATTAAAAGAGATATCCAATTCTTTACTGCATGGATTGAATATATATCAAAACATGATAGGGGCATCTAGGATGGTAATTAAAGGAATCGTCACATTTCCTTAAAAGTACATCATATTTACATCTATTGTTTCCAGTGTGGCCCCCCTGTCTTTTGACGACTTGTCATTTCCTTTCTACTTTTATAACATGAACAGGTCAAAATATATCTCTGCAAGGTAAGGTGTGATATGATAAAACAGTAGTAAAATTGTTTTCAAATTTCAAAATTTCTGTACCATCAAGCAACCATAGGGAGAATCAGAATATCTTAAGCTCTGCTATTACACTTACCCCGATGGCCAAGTTGAGAGAAGCCAGAGAAGTGGAACTGGCAATTCTTATTCTGTAGGTCTTGTTTGGATCCACATGGAGGATGTAGGGTGCCCATTGTTCATGTCCTGTTATATTGCACTGACTGAGAGGTGATTTGCTATAATGAGCCGCTAGGGAACACCCATATTGCCCTCTTCCATTGATCAGTAGGGTCTGAAGATTGATCATTTTCAAGGAAAAAAAAAAAACAAAACTAGTAAGAGAATTGTATACATTAATTAATTAAAAAAGAAGCGTGTGATTAATTATTGACCTTGTTTTTACTTTCTTATTGGCCATTGTTATTCCTTCTTTTTGAATTTTGGGGTCAAAAGGATAAAAAAAAATATTGTACCGACAATCATGGGCTAAAATATGGAATCAGTTCTCAATTATTGATCCTCAATTATTCACATTGCTAGGTTGTTCAGCATTTGAAATTAAGAGTGTTTGGTGATATGTTTGTGTTGTATTTGAAAGTATTTTTTAAAATATATTTAGATTAATTAATAGTATTTGTTTAAATATTTTTGGATGATTTTATACGTTGATATGAAAATATTACAAACTACTTGAAAAAACATAATTTTACAAAAGCATCTATCGAACATAAACTAAATATTAAAACATAATTATGGTAATCACTTTTATTTTTTAAATCCTCGTTCTTGAATTTAAACCTTAAATACCGAATTAGAAATCCAAAATTTTACACTCTCAAAATAAATAAACCCCAAATTTATATTGCATTGTCCCAATTTGGGAGCTAGATGGGCTGGTCCTGCCAACATGCACTCACATGCATGGCCCCATGATGGATAATTGTCGACATTGGCTATCTACCGAAGGATGATATATTGGTATCCTATCTATGGCAAAACCAGCTTGCTAGAAATCGATAAACTCCAAAATTAAAGATAATGAGTTTAGCATTTAAACGTGTCCTTTTGGATCAATTTTTTCACAAAAAATATCATCAATGCACGCGAGTGGCTGCAGGGGGAGAAACAGAAGTTTGGCCATATATAGAATAATCTTCATAATAGAAATATTGGCAACTATCTACCTGGGGTTCGTCAATCCAGCGCATTGGTTGGGAAGAAAGGCCAACTTCTTGGTGATGAACACTTTTGTGCCACCAGTCACTTAACAACAGGTCAAACTCACCATCATAGTGGAAAGGCTCCTTCTCTCCTTCTGCCAAATCAACTATTAGGGCTCCGTACAACCCCGCTGATCTTTGCATTCCATAGTGTCCATGGTAGAAATATGTTCCTGCCTGCAACATATATATAAAGATTTCTAACACTAGTTAAACCCTAAAATTATATACGGCCCAAAAAAAAAGTATAAGAAAATAAAAGAAAAAAAGTGTATTGTGTTATCTACTTAATTAGCTAGAAATAGGGAAAGGAAAAGAGAGAATATTCTTACTCTGTCAACAGTGAACCTATAATCGAAGGTATCTCCAGGGTTAATAACACACTGTGAAATGGCAGCAGTCCCATCTGCCCATGGTGTTCCTTTCTGCAAAAAATTAGCAATAAGAGAATCAATACCAAATAAATACAGTAATACCAAATAAATACAGTAAAGTAAAGCATTGCTTTCAAAAACAGCATGTTCTTCATTGTCACATGCAAAGATGCTTCCATAGAGAGAATTAGATCAATGCATAGAAAGAGACCTGTCTGATTCCATGCCAGTGAATGACAACTCCCTCGGTGGAGAGTTTGTTTGTGAGTTGAACATGAACTGTATCTCCAGCTCTAGCCCGGATTGTTGGTCCAGGGAACTTACCATCGATTCCCATCACAATATTTTCTACCCCATCTGGAGACCAATACATGTACTCCACTTCCCACTTGTAAAAATGGTGTCCAGTCTTATGAGAAGTAGCCAATGAACTCTGGATCAAGGACAGCCAAATGCACCAAACTATGAGACCCTTAAAACTTCTTGAAAACGGGTCAACCGATAGTGTCCCCATGTCCTCCTATTGGATGCTCAAAAAAGAGGAATTTAGTGGTTGAGGTGAGGTGATCAGATATGGATGCTATGAAAGAAAAGAAAGAGCTAGCTATATCATCTCCGGCTTAGTGGATGATCTGTGCCTATGTGGTGGTGGTATATATAGAGAAGGGGCTATGTTTTGGACCGCACCTCCCCTTCCGTTGATTTTGGAATTTTTTATTTTTTTTAAAAAAATTCAGAGGTAAACCTTTAAATTGATATATTCAATAGAAATTATTTTTATAAAGATGGGCCTTATGATTTGGATTTAAAATATAAAAAAAAACAGGATCAAATCTTTCAGACTTACTTTTTAAAATTAATTAATAATATATGCTCGCCACGTACTAAACAACGTGTGCGTATGGGGAGTAATAACTTTGTTTATGTGGCTGCTAAATTATGTTTATTTAGACTCACTCATAGTGCGCGTCAGATAGGTAGTGTGAATACTTGTTGGCTTCTACAAAGAGTTCTTCGTCTGGGGAATATGTGAATAAATATCTTCCTATGATAAAAAGTAAGTAAACAGTAAATGAAATGAATTTATTAATTTTGAAAGATATGCACAATAACTATTGAAAAATAAAAAAATAAAAATAAAAATAATAAAAAAACACTAGTTAAAACATAGTAAAACTACATATTGGTTCGATCAAGATGGATGGATATATAATAAGAACATTTGAGTCACAATATATATTATGTATACTAAACAATATTATTTTGGTTTGATGCTGTACACTTAAAATATGCGTAAATTATTAAAAATATTAAAAATTTCAATAGCGAGAATGTATAGTTGAAGAAATCATCATCTTAATACATGAAGTATTTCTATATCATAAGGGAGATATTCACGTGAGGTTCGAATCTGATCTTCTTTTTTCCTAAAAAAGGAAGTTCAGATTTTAAATGAATGGCTTAGCAAGAAAAACACCCCAACAAATCTATGGGGCAGGCAAAAAGAGGAGCAGATTCACAGACAAAAGACGGGCAGAAAGTATGAATAATAGAAAGGTAATAGTTGTAATCATATTGTCTTCACCTCTAAGGTGGCGACTTAACCATATATGTGTTTTTGTGTTATTTCTTCAGAGCAAAAAAGCTATAATTCGGATAAAAAAGAAAAGCGTAATAATAATTCTGCAAGTTGACAGTATAATCAAACTCTTCACTTGACATTTCATCCAAAAAGAAAAAAAAAAACAAAGAAGCATCACTTTACAGCTACTAGATTTGTACTTTAAACTAGCTTTCTAGCCGATGTCTTTTTTTTTTTCCCGAAAAAACTAATAGTATATAATTAAGTTATTCTTATCTATAGAACAAATCGAATAATGAAAAATATATTAAAAAAAATAGGCCAGATTATTGAGAGCCAAGCTTGTTTTCTATGGGTGGTATAACTTATTAGGAACCAAATTAAAGACAAGGTATATAGGGCTGCCGATTGCCACATGATGAAGACTTTAAAGTGGGCCGGCTGCATAAATTAAATATCGTATGCTCTATAATAGTTTATTGATAAAGTTTGGTGCTAAGATTTAAAAAAAAATGTGCAAGAAATTAAGTCAAGTACTTAGTCAAATTAGTAGATCCATTTTTTAACTTATATATGTTGATTGTCATTTGTGATTAAGGTACGTGGCCTCAATTGACTGATCCTACTCAAAAAGGGCAAAAACGAGAAAAAAAAATAATTATACTTGAAGTTTTTTTTTATTAATATTTTATCATCATTATTCTTAATTGCACAATGCATGACTCTTCTTATGTTTCTTTATTTTTTAAGCTAAATCCATATTGTTCACTCATGTATGTGTATATTACACTCAATTCATTAGTTGAGCCTTTGTGAAAATAATTTGACCAATTAAACTCTATATTTTTCGATTGCAATCAATTAAGAAAACTAATTTGAGGCCGCATTTTCTATCCATATAGGACCCTAGTTAAAAAAAAAATCAAAAAGTATATTTAGGAAAGATAATTTCATTTTAAGAAATAAAATTTGGAAAAAAGAAAGAAAGAAAGAGCAGTGACTCCATATTTTAACCCTATTTGGAACCCCCAAAAAAAAAAATCCACGTCAGCTACTTAATGAAATAATTGGATGAAAGTTGCCAATTAGACTCAATCAACAGCAATTATAAAAAGATGGGGTTAGGTCATTAATACTAATTAGTTTCCATGTACAAAATCGTTTCGTATGAATAAAAATGTAATTTGAATCAAATACAAGAGGAACAGAACTTGTATATTTGTATAATTCGCGGTTTTTATTTTTTTATTTTTAAATTTTTTGAAATAAAAATAAAAACTTAATAATATATTTTTATGAATAGGCGTGAATAGTGTACGGCCTTTTCAAAACTCTATTAAAAAGAGACTTCTCTAGACTTTAATAAAAGAGACTTAATTCTATGCGTCCAAAAACTAGCCCATAGATGCATATATTGTTAAAATGAATAAATAAATAAAAGTTCTATTAGCTTTTTCATTCGCGCATAAGACCTTAGCTAGGTATCGAAATTGTGCAGTTTTAAATAATAATAATAACTTTTAAGTTCTCATATTTTTTGCATGTTGTTCTTTCTTTTCTCGTGTTTTACGCTGCTTCGAAATGATCTAGAATCCCAGGTTTTATATGTATTGTGATGAATGGGCTAGGGCAAAGGTTAGCATTATAATTAATAATTTACCAAAGAAAAAACTATAATTAATAAACTCAGAATGCTAATAATTGATATTGAGATTCATCTCAGTAAATTGAATACATCGACACTCGAATGCTTATAATTAATAAATTTTTTTTTTTACTGTTTGATGACATTTTTGTTACTTTCAAGTCAAAGCATTTCTGGATGTAAATTGTTGTAGTATTTTTACGATTTTCAAGCTATTTCTAGACATTTTATATGTAAGTTTTTATAAATATTATACTTTATTCTTCATTTTTTAATACAGCTTGTTTTTTATTTCAAACTTTATTTATATCAAAGTTTTATCTCTAGTGATAGGGAGGAGAGAGAAATGGCATTGGAGAAAGCAGTAGAGAGAGAAAATCCTAGTGAAACTCGTTCCTATCAATTTGGCTCTCAATCTTTGCATTAATTTATTCGTCTCGGAGAAAAAGATTTATTTATGATATTCATAAGTTATGAAATGATTAGAAAAAATATATTAAAACCTGAGTTTTTTTAATTTGATTAAATTTTTATATGAATTAAAATAGATTTTGAAGTTTTAAAGGAGTTTATTCATCATATTTTTTGTGAATTTAAAGTTTTTTGGGACGAAAACAATGCTGATTGTTGTTTCGAGAGTTTGAAAGCTGAAAACTCATTTTTTTGCGAGACTTTTCTAGCAAAATCAACGTTGCCACAAATTGCTTACGGACGACACGTTATCTCTTTTCTTTTTTTCTTTTTTCTTTTTTGAAAAAGGCTTGCCTGGACCTAGTTCTCCAACCACAAGAGTGTATGCTTGGTTCTCCAGACCCAAATGAACAGGCATGTGCCCCAACGTCGTTCTTTTTACTTTTTTTTCAATAATTTATTTTATTTTTTATGATGGATTTTTTAATAAAAATTATGAAATATCAATCTTTATTTTTTAAATTTCACACATACTGACAATATATATATATATATATATATATATATATATATATATATATATATTTGCCAGTATGTGTGAAATTTAAAAATAAGATTGATATTTTATATATATATATATATATATATTTTTTAAAATGAACATATATTTCAAATTATGTTACTTTTATTAGTTAAAATTTATTCTTTCAATTTGTCATTTCTTCTAGAGATTTTCATTTAATTAATTTTTTTCAAAAATTATTTATTAAAAAATATATCTATATATGGATTTTTGAAAAAATAAATTAGAATATGATTATTTTCTCTTTTTTTAAAAAAATTATATAATTTGTATGATGGATTCTTAGACTTTAAATATGATTGTAACATGACTATATATATAAGTTTAAAAGTGTATTTCAAATAATTGATTTTGAATTTAAAAAAAAATTACAAAATATGCTTATGTGTATAGTTATTTAATCTAAAAATTAAAACTATTTTTCAAATAATTTGTCTCAGATTTTTAGAAAAAAATAATTTATAAAATGAGTTTTTAGTTAAGAATTCATTGATTTTGAAATTTTATTCTTAGATTATTACAAATATTTGGTTAATAATCCAGATAGAGAAAAATAAATTATTTTTTAGTATAAAATTTATAAAAAATATAAAAATAATCAGTTAAATACAAAATTTTAAAATTGAATGGATTTTTTTTTAATGTAATTTGATAGACCCACGGATAGCTTTGATCATCAAACTAAAATAATTTTATATGTTTTGTTCAACTCTGTAGCATAGCATAAATTAAAAAAAAAAAAAAAACTAGTTATGAAACTATAAATATCATTTCTATGTGAGTTTTTTTTTAAAGTATGGTTTTTTTAAACTTATATTACTAAAATATGATTGTTTTAACCTTATTTCCCAATCTAGGATATTATATGCCATGTAAGCTCCTTCTCAATAATTTATATATATATATTTTGTCTTAATGTACTAATAAAACTCTAATTAAAATTACAATATTATTTTACAAATAATTAAAAGAATATGAATTTTGAAATTTCTTATTTTCCTTAATTGGCTTATAAAAATTTGAATAACACTCTTAAACGCATTCAAATCTTTCACGATTGTAACTCATGTTTTGTCCGTTAACGATTACGCACACATGTTAGATTTCAATTACAATACTATAAATATGATTTTGAATTGGATGCCTATTGTCCTACACATAAGGTGCTCAATCAAAATTTTTAGTGAATTTTTTGTATCGATAAAAATTTTCAATGAATCTTTTCTATTTGGTAAGTGTGTTTGGGATTAAGGAGTCTGTTATTAGACATATTGTTAGCAAAAATTGGAAACT